TTTCCTTTAGTTTTTTTCGCATCTACCGCATCTAGCATTTCGCATCTACCGCATCTATCCAAACCATATGTACAAATTCATTAATTTCTTTAATGTAAATAATAATATGGAGTATTATGCTGTGCAAACCGTACCGCATTACATGGGACCAAGACATATTTAGATTTTAATGTAAATAAAAAATGAAATGTAATGCTGTCAGAATTCACAAATCCGACCAGGGTTTTTTTTATAGAATTTTTTATATGCCTATTTTAAGTGCTGTCGAATTAAAATAGAAAAAAAAACCTGTCGGATAGCCCAATTCCGACTAGGGGTGTTTTTTAGAAATATTTTGTTTTGTTTTGAAAAACTATATATATTAAATTTTATAAATTACATTATTTTATAAAAACTTTTATATAAATTACATTTTATATAAATTACATTTTTATAGAAAAATTTTATTTTGTTTAGAAGTATTTATTTTAGTAATTTTTAACTCATTCAATTAGATAAACTCACATTTTATAATATAACGCGTTTAAACAAAATCTAACCCAGTTTTACATATGAAATCATCCAGACTCAGGGGAAGAGTCGGACGACCCAGACTACGAACAAGGTTTTTGTAGTGATGTCGATTCAGCCACGAGGGATAACAATGACGAGACAGTAGACCCCACCTGGGCCAATCTAGAGCTAGAAGAACCATATGAGCTAGATTATGAGCCTGAAAGACTCGAAGTCGGCGCAATTTTCCCTTCATATGATGCACTGAAAGAAGCGGTGGAGAGAGAAAACATTCGTCAATTTCGTCAATTCCAATCGGTTGACAAAAGGGTACGGTCCTGGAAGGCGGTTTGCATATACCCGACCCTTTGCACTTGGCATATCCAAGCAGCAGAAGGTATGACTTCAACAAAGTGGAAAGTAAAAAAATATCAACCCCATCACAGTTGCAGGGAGGATCCTGTCACGGCTCGGGATGATAAGATCCTAACGGCCAAGATCATAGCGAGTGAAATCGCTCCAAAAGTGAAAGTCGACCCGGACTACAGCATTAAACTGATAATGTCAGACATATATGAAAAATTTGATATCCGTGTTTCATATAAAAAAGCTTGGAATGGACGCTTGATCGCTCTGGAGCGTAAATTCGGCAATTGGGAGGCCTCATATAATGAAGTTCCTATGTTGGAAGCTATACAGTTTTCAAATCCGGGGACGGTTGTTCATTTGCAATCGCAACAGGCCGGCAGTCCTGATACGTCTGAATTCCGTCGAGTGTTCTGGTCATTCAAAGCTTCTATAGACGGTTTCAGATTTTGCTTACCCGTAGTCTCGATTGATGGGACTCACTTATATGGAAAATACAAGGGGGTTCTTCTAGTAGCGGTAGCCATGAACGCTAACCGTGAGATATTTCCTCTTGCATATGCTGTTGTTGAGAGTGAGAATGCTGACAGTTGGTCGTGGTTCTTTGCAAGGGTTATGCGTGATGTGGTTGGAAGTCATCATAGTGTGTGCGTTATCTCCTATCGTCATGCAGGAATTGAAAGTGCATTTAGATCCTTGCCAGAGTTGAGATCGCCACAAGTTTCAAAGCGTTATTGCCTCCGTCACATACGGAGTAATTTCATGACCAAGTTCAGAAACGCGGAACTGAAGAAATTATGTTGGCAAGCTGGTAGCACTCCCACAGAACAGGAATTTCATGACTGTATGGAACAAATACGAGGCATAAATGAGAGTGCCTTTTTGTATTTGAATGAGATTCCTGTTGAGATGTGGGCCCTGAGCTATGACGATGGCAAAAGATATGGCATTTTGACGACAAACCTTTCAGAAAGTTTTAACAATGTCTTAAAGGGATGTCGCACATTGCCTATCTGCGCACTAGTAAAGGCCACATTTGATAAAGTCGTCCAACTATTTGCCGATCGACGAAATGCGGGAATAATGTGGCACCAAGCTGGATTCTTGTATCCAAAGAACATATGGAAGGCTGTTCTTGAGCGATCACAGCGTAGGTATCACACAACAATTGTCCCGCACAATCGAACAACGGGGATTTACTCTGTAGCTATTAGTTCGCATGATCCAGTGACAATCGATCTGACACGGCAGGAATGTGGGTGCGAGTATTGGAAGCAGAATGGGCTGCCATGTGTTCACGCATATGCGGTTTGTCGGTTTTTAAAAATAACCGTAGACGGCCTCATCCTAGCTGTGTATTCGTTAAATGCGTACATCCGGACGTACGCTTCTGATATTATGCCTATTAATAATGCGTACATCCCAGTAGAAACACAACATACACTTCTCCCACCCACAAACAACAGATCGGCTCGAGTCGGTAGGCCACAGAGAACTTGATTTACTAACGAAATGGATTTGCGTGCTACGGGTAGAGGAAATGAGTAATATTGTAATGTATACGTTTCTGGATTTTTTGTTTTGCATCCAATTAGTAATGAAATATTTGTTCTCTTTTTCGAATCTGTTTCATTGTATCTGACATTTTGGTTCACATAAATTCCATCAGATAAATTTAATTTTGTACGACGCTGTATAAATTCAGATAAAATTAATCAGATAAAATCAAGCAGATAAAATTTTATCAGATAAAATTAATCAGATAAAATCAAGCTGATAAAATTTTATCAGATAAAATTAATCAGATAAAATCAAGCTGATAAAATTTTATCAGATAAAATTAATCAGATAAAATCAAGCAGATAAATTTTATCAGATCAAATTAATCAAATAAAACGACTTAAGATAATTTCAATAAGATCAAATTTAATGAGATAAATATATCACATAAATTTTAATAGAGAAAAAGTATAAATTAATAACTTCAATACTCCTACCTAACTATCTGTCGGCAAACAAACACATTCATCCATAAACAAACACATTCATCCATAAACAAACACAGTCATTCACGCGGATCACAATCTAACGGTTTGAAGAAGCTTTCGGATCACCATTTAACGGCTCTCTAGTCGGAACTGCCAAATCCGACTAGGATATTTTTACTTTTTTTTACCCACTCCTGTCGGAACTATGCAATCCGACTGGGAGTTGATAAATACTCCTGCATTCTCATTCCATTACTCATTAGTCAATCAATCTCAAATTTTCATTCCCATACAACCATCCTCACAAGTTAGCTGCCCTCAATCAATCTCAATTTTTTCATTCCGAAGCAACCATACTCACAACCAAATAAATTTATCTACCCTTTGGGATCACACAAATTTTCAGGTTAGTTAAATTTTGGTTTGAGAAGTGTACAAGTAGTTAAATTTTTAATTTGTGAATTTTTAATTTATACTGTCAAATTGGACTTTTAGAGTAAAATTTAGTTATAAAATACTTGAAACTTAGAAAGTGTGTTACATTTAGGATTTGCCTTAAAATTTCGGATTTAAAAGTGTAGAAGTAGTTAATTTTTTAATTTGTGAATTTTTAATTTATATTGTCAAATTGGACTTTTAGAGTAAAATTTAGCTATAAAATATTTGAAACTTAGAAAGTGTGTTACATTTAGGATTTGCCTTAAATTTTGGATTTAGAATTGTAGAAGTAGTTAATTTTTTAAGTTGTGAATTTTTAATTTATATTGTCAAATTGGACTTTTAGAGTAAAATTTAGCTATAAAATACTTGAAACTTAGAAAGTGTGTTACATTTAGGATTTGCCTTAAAATTTCGGATTTAGAAGTGTAGAAGTAGTTAATTTTTTAATTTGTGAATTTTTAATTTATATTGTCAAATTGGACTTTTAGAGTAAAATTTAGCTATAAAATACTTGAAACTTAGAAAGTGTGTTACATTTAGGATTTGCCTTAAATTTTGGATTTAGAATTGTAGAAGTAGTTAATTTTTTAAGTTGTGAATTTTTAATTTATATTGTCAAATTGGACTTTTAGAGTAAAATTTAGCTATAAAATACTTGAAACTTAGAAAGTGTGTTACATTTAGGATTTGCCTTAAAATTTCGGATTTAGAAATGTAGAAGTAGTTAATTTTTTAATTTGTGAATTTTTAATTTATATTGTCAAATTGGACTTTTAGAGTAAAATTTAGCTATAAAATACTTGAAACTTAGAAAGTGTGTTACACTTAGGATTTGCCTTAAAATTTCGGATTTAGAAGTGTAGAAGTAGTTAATTTTTTAATTTGTGAATTTTTAATTTATATTGTCAAATTGGACTTTTAGAGTAAAATTTAGCTATAAAATATTTGAAACTTAGAAAGTGTGTTACATTTAGGATTTGCCTTAAATTTTGGATTTAGAATTGTAGAAGTAGTTAATTTTTTAAGTTGTGAATTTTTAATTTATATTGTCAAATTGGACTTTTAGAGTAAAATTTAGCTGTAAAATACTTGAAACTTAGAAAGTATGTTACATTTAGGATTTGCCTTAAAATTTCGGATTTAGAAGTGTAGAAGTAGTTAATTTTTTAATATGTGAATTTTTAATTTATATTGTTAAATTGGACTTTTAGAGTAAAATTTAGCTATAAAATACTTGAAACTTAGAAAGTGTCTTACATTTAGGATTTGCCTTAAATTTTGGATTTAAAATTGTAGAAGTAGTTAATTTTTTAAGTTGTGTTTATACGTAATTAATAATTGTTAGAACCTCTCATCATAATTATGAAATATTTCCTTTAATGTCAAATTGGACTTTTACTAAAAAAATTACTTTAATAATTGGACTTTTACTCATTAATTTTGAAATTACTAGTTAGTTTGGTAACTTTTAAGCTTTAATTTTAGATTTAGAGTTCAATTTCGAAATTAGTAATTTATAACTACTTATTTCAGGAATTTCAAATGGACCAAAACACTTCGCGCCCAGGGCCTGTTAACTGTTCACTACTCACGTTGCCACTGCGTGCCCATCGTGCTGACCGTGTGTGGTATGAACCAGATTCCAAAGACTTGTGCTTAAAATGCGTGAATTGCCCTTCAGCTGCATTCGGAGATGAGGAGCGAGATGAAAGAGTAATAAATATGTTAGCTTATGCTGGGTTCTTGGGGGTAGAGCACATTGCCCGTATGAAGGTGGATCATAGTTTAATATGCGCTTTGGTGGAGAGATGGAGGCCGGAGACACATACTTTCCATCTTCCATTCGGTGAGGTTGGCATTAGCCTACAAGATGTGGCGATGATCCTTGGTTTGCCCATTCGAGGTATGCCCCTTAGTGGTCCTACCATTAAGGGTAAGGCTCAGTGGATCGACCTGTGCACGCAGTCATGTGGTTTCACTCCTTTAGAGACTGATATGCGCACGAGTGATATCACCTTGAGTGTTGTTACCCGTCACCCGATTGTAACTGACAGTACAGACGAAGAGGTCACCGAACACACCAGGACCCTAATATGGCAATTGCTTGGAGGGTTTTTGTTCCCTGACACGAGTGGGACAAGAATACGATTGTACTTTTTGGAAGTCTTGCAGGGTGACTTGGCTTTAGCCCGTCGATGGAGTTGGGGATCGGCGGTTCTCGGATACCTCTACCATAACTTGTGCAACGGCGCCAAGTGGGAAACCAAACAAGTTGGCGGCTGTATGCACTTGTTACAGATTTGGGCTTGGTCGAGGATTTCGATGTTCCGTCCCTCAGTACTTCAGTTCATTCAATATGACCATCTTCCATATGGGTGCAGGTATGTTGCCAATTACATCTTAATAATTGAGAATGCTTTATATGACGTTACATTTTTTAACTTCATATCACTAATCAACAAATGTAGGTGGATCGTCCCCAAGTCATATAAGGGATCCCCAAGACATTGCATACGCTTGTACCGGGATGACCTAGACCGCATGAGTGAGAATCAGGTAGTACTTGAAATTTTTACTTCAACCGTACTATTCAATTTTCAATACACATTGTTTTATAGTTCTTAAATTGTAAATTAAACTTTTTACAGTTTGATTTCATTCCCTACGCGTCCGAGACACTCCCACCTCTCGTCCTTAATGAAGCTCCGCTTTGGTCGGCTAGGGTCATGCTCATATTTTGCAATATGGCCGAAATGCATTACCCCGATCGATTTCTTCGGCAGTTCCATATAAGGCAAGATATTCCGAATGCTCCTTTGACAGGTACTGATAATCACGGCAATCGTTCCAACATAGTAACCGGTGCCTTGGCGATGTGGGCGAACATACAACATCACATATACTTTCTTGATTACGATCGACATATGTTCCTCGAAGCAACTAATAGGTACCGAAACTGGTACAAGAAGCATGGTATGACACGTGTCCAGAACCCTTCTCACAATGTGCCCACGACAGGCTACACCCCGACAGCACACGATTGGGGTATTGTGGTAAGTTTTTGAATACATACCATATTCATTAACATATATCGTGTCATATTGTTTACATGTTACAAAATTTTATGTAGAAGCAAGGCGTTCACGAGGTGTATCAGCTCTTAGCCGATCGCGCGAGTTATGAGGACTGTCAAAAACGACTACGGCAGATGGCCCTGGACGTAGGTGATGAAGAGATGCTCCACCGGGGCATATTCCATTATGAAGATGAAGATGAAGGTGGAAGTGACGAAGAGGATGATGCAGATGAACATGAAGGTGGGGGTGAGGACTCACCATCGCTCCCTCAATTCTCAAAACATGGTGTCTCATTTGATCAACCACCCCCTCAATTCTCAACATAGGGTGTCTCATTTGATCAACCACCCCCTCAATTCTCAACGCATCAAGGTGTCACATTTGATCAACCACCGCCGTATTATGATTCTTATCAGTTCTCTACACAACCGGATGATTATGTCGAGTCATTTCTGAGTTCGTCATTTTACTATGGAGACCCAACGGGGCCTTGGAACACTGGCGGTGGGGACGGAGCAGGGCCGAGCGCACAACGTTAGATGTAGTATTAAATTTAATATTATATGTACTCTCTATTCATTAATAAATTACATTGAAAACTACATTCGTTTTGTTCATTTCCATTAAAATTAAAAAAATTGCACTTCAAACACCATCGCAGTTGTACCTAATTTGACGAATGAATTAAATCAAAATTACACTTAAAATTACAAAAATTGCAATTAAAACAAAATTCACAATACAAATGGATTAAAAAACAATATAAAGCAATCAAATGTTTTGTACTAAAAATACAAAATGTTTTCATTTTAAAAAATATGTGAGGAATCTAATAATGCTTTTAAAGTTGGAATGGATAAAACTCAAAAAATTAAAATCAAAATGTTTTCATTTAGCCCTACGATTTAAAACTTTAAGTTTTTAGAAGTCAAAATAAAAAACTTAACAATTTGAAAAAAAAAATTAAGTCATAGTCGGAATTGGGTAATCCGACAGGGTGGGGAGTTTTTTAGAAACCCTAACTCCTAGTCAGAATTGGGTGATCCGACTTACGTTTTTAGGTAAAACATAGAAAAATCCCCGTACTTTGGCAACCCAAACCCATCTTTCCCGTGTTTTGGTAAATCACCCGTACTAATGGGGGGCAAGGCCTCCTACCCCTATACCTACTTTTGAGTGAGTTTTGTCCTTGTGTTCACGTTTAACACTTTGAAAGAAATAGACCCCACCACATCGGCCACTCACTCCAATCAGATGCCTCAAAGTGTGGTCCCATATCACAAAAAATTGAATAATAAAAATAATATGACATTTTGTATCATCTTCATAAATACGTAGTACTAGGTATAAGCAACCAGCGACATATTTTTCATGCGAATGAGCAGCATGTGCTCCAGCAGGGTCTAACTTTCCACGTTCACCTGCCAAGCCATTGCCATTGCCCCTTCCACGTCCTCTTCCGTTTTCATTCCTCCAACCAGGATAATAATGTCCTATTTTTTGGAAGCGGTGTTCATAATTATGGCCAGTGCGTTTACAGAACGTGCAAGAGAGCTTCAATTTATCCCCTCCGTCGTTGGGTAAAAACGCCGGCGGACGAGCAGTTTGGGTCACGAAAGCTGCAGCTTCTCGTCTATATATCGTCCAGGGCCGGTCCTGTCCAATTCTTGGCCTATGGGCGATACACGATTTTGGGCTTATATCCAAGACAAACAGCAAACCATGTGCTTATTTGAAATATGAATTATAATAAAGTATCCAATGAAGTTCATAAATAAAGGCGATAATCACTTTATTGTTATTTAAGTTTCATATTTGGGCAAAAATAACAACACGAATACTGAACCAAAAGAAAAAACATTACTTAAAAACATTTCTCGTAGAACAACGTGAAGCAAATCATCAATAATCGCTTCATAGGCAACCTTCTTTCCACTAATAAATATGACAAACAATAAAATTGCCACATATAATAACACTAAACATTTTTTCAATTACAACTTAAAGGATAAATGAAAACAAATATTACTTCATATTGAATTCATAAGTTGAGAATGATTTATTGACCTCTGATGAGAGTCAAGTTTGAAATCTCAAAAGAATGAAGGTTTTCAAAGAGACAAAATGTTTGACTCGTGCAAGAAGGCTGCAAATTTGACGTCCTCTAAAACTACTATTAGGAACTCAGATATAGTTTATTAAAATTTGGAAACAAATAAATAATTAGGATAAGATTTGAGAGCCACATGCTCTAAAATGATTATATAAATTTGTTATGTTATAATTAAAATGAATAAAAAGCCTTGAAGGCTAAACATGTGCAAACATTTGTATTGTTATAAGAAACTACAATCGGTCCTACTTAAAATTAATGTATATATTCCTTTTTAATATTGGCTTTGTTTAACACTTTTTCTTTATGTTTTAAAATTTTAAATGGTCAACCAAATTAAACATCAAGCCTAATTAATTGAACTTATAAATAAAAAAGAAGCCTATCCACACTATATAGAAAGAAAAAATTTTGGGCCTGTTTTTTCTTCTATTTTTTCGGGCCTAGGGCGGTCGCCCCTGTTGCACCCCCTCAGAACCGGCCTTGATATCGTCTTGTGTCCTCGTCATGTGTTGATGTATTTCCTCTTTTATCACCATTTGGTATACCTTGCTCATAGAATTAAAGGAAGTGAATCCATGCCAGAATTTGAGACCGTAATTGCCAAAGACATCACCATCTAAACCCAATAAGAATTCACGAATCTTTAATTACTTCTTCAACTTTTTGTAAAAATTTTACCTTTAGATTACATGTACACAAACCACGCACATTTATGGACATTTCTATATCCCGAAAAAATTTGAAGTCTTTATTAGAATATATTATATGATTTGATCAATCCCCCAAGAGGGAATCAAGGGATATTACAGGAGGATATTGGGGGATTTGGGGGTGATGGGGTATTTTGGCGACGGTGAGGGGGGATATATGGTGAGGAGGGGGGTGATCTGCTGGGAGGTGGTGATGTGGAGGGTGAAGGGTAGCTTAGGTTATCTAGTAGAATGGGGTGGGGAGATAGGAAGTCATATGATGGAGGGGGGGAAGGAGGAAGATCTGCGAAGGGAAACACTGACTCATCGAAGGTCACATGTCTAGAGATAATAATTTTGCCTGTTGCTAACTCTAGACAGCGGTACCCACGGTGCTGAAGAGGGAACCCAAGAAAAACGCAACGCGTGGACCGGGGAGCCATTTTATTGAGAGCGGTAGAGCTAATATTAGGATAGCAGAGACACCCAAATATACGAAGATGATCATATATGGGTTGACGACAATATAAGGCTAGAACAGGAGAGCGGAAGGCAAGTGTTTTGGTGGGGAGAATATTATGAAGGTAAACAGCCATATGGAGGGAGTCAACCCAGTATTTAGGGGGGACAGAGGCATGGGCCATGATTGTACGAGTAATGTCATTAATGCGGCGGATCATTCTTTCGGCTTTACCATTTTGAGGAGATGTTTGAGGACAGGAAAACCGAAAAATGAGACCGCGTTGTTGAGAAAACTGACGAAACAAAGAGTTATCAAACTCACGACCTAAGTCACATTGAAAAGATTTTATTTCCTTTTCAAATTGAGTGCGGACAAGAGCACTAAATTCAAGGAATTTTTCGAAAACCTGAGACTTTAGTTTAAGTGGGTATATCCAAAGATAATTAGTAAAGTCATCTAAAAGAAGAAGATAATACCGAAAACCAGTACTAATATTAATGGGACATGTCCATAAATCACTATGAATAACGTCAAACGGAGCAACAGTATTAGGCCCGGAAGGGAAAAAAGGTAACCTAACATGTTTACTAATTTGACAGGAATGACAAAGTATGGAATTATATTCCTTATTACAATTAATTAAAGATTGAGTGCGAAGTGAATCCATAACCGCCTTGCCAGGATGGCCAAGTCGATTATGCCAAAGATCTGGTGACACAACTGCAAGTGAGAGAGGTATAGGCTTGGAAGCCACTGTATTAGTGGTGATAGGATATAGCTCCCCGGTGCTATTGCATCTCATAATACATGTCCCCGAAGTCAGGTCCTTCACAGAAAAACCATATGGATCAAATTCAACAGAAACATGATTATCAGTAGTGAATTTTCGGACAGACACAAGGTTTTTGATAATATTAGGGGCAACAAGGGTATCATTGAGATAAAGGTGGCGATCAGGAAGGGATATAGTTTTGCTACCACGGGCAATAACCGGAATACTATTACCATTACCGACTAAAATAGAATGTGTATTACTATTATTAAAAACACGGGTCAAAGTACCTGAATCCGCGGTGAGATGCGAAGTAGCACCTGTGTCCATATAAAAATTATTATCTGGCTGCTTTAGGGAAAGAGAGATGTAGGCTTGGGCCAGATCTTCTGGATGCAACGTTTCTGCCGTAGGAGTGAAATAGGCATGTCCTTGATTTGAGTTTGCAGCAGCCGCAATAGGACGCTCAGAACGGCCTCGCGCACCAGAGAGACGACCGGGTGAAGGCGTCCAGAGAGGTCCCTGCGATGCCGTCGGATAGGGGCACGGCGGAATCGCCCAGAGAGGCTGCCACGGCGAGGGATAACCGGGTATCAGCGGTGCGCCAGCAGGGGAGTGACCTGGAGCCAGAAATTGACCAGGGGACGAGTGGCCGGACGAATCAGAACTCATAGGGCGTCGATTGTTTGAACGGCTCCGGCGGTGGTTGCTAGAGATCCGAGGCTGTCGGGTCGGAGTGGAGACCCGATTGGATGCTGAAGCTTCTGTCTGGTATACCGCGGCCTGATTCGATGCTGAAGGCTCCGTTTGATAAGCTGCTGCTCCAGGAGATGCTGGAACGGCCAGTGCAGTAGGAGAAGTAACCGCAGATTGCTGGGCACGACGTTGTTCTTCCGTACGCAATTGAGAACGGGCAGCCTCAAATAAAGGCATTGTTTGGGAAATTAAGGAAGCCACAGTGTCATATTCGGGCGGCAGACCGTTGACCAGTTGAATGACCAGCCGTTTGTCATCCATGGCAAATCCCAGGTCTTGAAGGGTCAGCAAAGGTGTGGAGTTTGTCACAGTAGTCATCCACACTTGAACAGTCCACAAACTTGAGATTAACGAACTTGCTTTCTATCAGTGCAGCACGAGTACCTTTATTGTCTTGAAAGAGAGACTTAAGACGGTCCCATAGGTCCTTGGCGGTTTTGCCGGATTTTAGGACGGTGAGCATCAAGTCTTTGGACATGGTGGAGAACATCCATTGACGAACTAGAGCATCCAATTGCTTGCGGGTGGGGCCGTCAATGGTGCTTGGGGCAGCTTCGCCATCAATTAGAAACATCAAATTGTGAGCCTCAAGGTTAAGCTCAAACAAGAAAACCCATGAGGAGTATTCATCATCTTTAAGATCAAGAGTGATGGGGATGTGGGTTTTGATATTGTTCAGTGTGAGAGCAGGATGGATGGTAGGCTTGGAGGGCTGGTTGTCGCCAACCATGACTGGAAAAAGAAAAAAAAAGAACTAAGATGGGGGTTGGATCGAAAAGTCTGATATATTCTAATAGTCTTCAATGATAAGGGTGACCGTTTATCCACTTTGACAACGATACTAAATTCGCTTGTGTCTCAAAATGAATTCACCACGTGCTAAACATTAATACAATAGTATAGCGTAGTGGAGTTCGTATCCATAGAGAAAGGTGTATACTTTTCGCATGTGTGTAAGCGTAAGAAATCAAAACAAACGGAAGGGGGATTGGATATTATTGTGATAATTGAGAAAACAAATAAAACACTAAGATGAATGAATTAAAATAACAAAGGTAACCGGGCTTGATTTTGCTACTTTCCATTTAGTGAAGTACCCCTTGATCACGGTTTTTACTTTGAACTCTTACCTCTTAGATACTTAATTGTGGAGAAACTCCAATTCATCTAGAATAACTATTAATAACGAGACGTGATCTTTAATAACCTTTTGATACAATGAAAAACTACAAACTCGGAAAATGCCCAAAACGAGAGATAGAAGTTGGCAGCAGGATTCGAACTCACGCCTGTTGCTGCATTATGGTCTTCCTAACTAACGAACTACGTTAGCTGATTGGTAATTTCATATGCTTAGTTGTCCTTGCACCTTCCAACTCTGTAACACTTTAATTGAGCTTTAATTAATTAGCTTGTTAATTAATTAATTTATAATAAAAAATTATAATACATACAAACCAATGCTATTTATATACTTTCTCAATCCTCATTATATATTTCATATTTATCTTTTATTTATTTTTATTTTGTAATGTGTATTATGTTCATATTAATCATCCATTTATACACAAATGTAATTTAAATTTTGTTAAAACTAATATACTTTAATACAATAGTTTTTTTGACATTACTTATATTGTATTATCAATATTAAAGTGAGAAGAGTTATAAGTTTTCTATTTGTGAATTTAATTTTTCTATAATTAATTTTATTCGTGTTGACCGGGTTTACCGGTCGTTGACCGGGTTGACCCGCCGGGTCCGGTTGACCTGTGACCCAGTCATTTTTCCGGGTCATTTACCGGTCCGGTTTTTATAGCATAGGTCCTATGTGGGTTGATGAAGTGTAACACCCCGGCCCCGCAGGACTCGAGGTAGTTACTCCGGACCAATAGTACTGTCCTCACAAACCGCCACTAGCCTTTTCCGCGCACTTTGTCCTCACTCGTGCGCGCCCTGAGAAACTTCCCAGGGGGTCACCCATCCCAAGACTACTCCCAAGCAAGCACGCTTAACTTTGGAGTTCTTGGTGATGAGCTCCCTTAAAAGGAGATGCATCTTGTTGGTATGAGTAGTACTATTAATCCATTTATATTAAATCTCCAGTGTTACAATCACCCCCACTTAGGATCGCAACGTCCTCGTTGCGCCCTTGCTTGTTCATATAACGAAAGATGTTTTAACCAAATTCTTATACAGCATTTGGATTTATTAGTAAGTAGTGAGCAAAATTTATATTCAATTAAAAAAATTGGTTATAATGACTAGTTGATTTATTTTGTTTCAAAAGTACGAATGTTACTCAGTTTATAAAAGAAATTGCAATAGTCGTTTGAGTGATGTTTAAAATACAGTTTCTAATTTACCTCAAAAGTTACTCGTGTAGGTGAATGAGTAATTAAATGTTGCTACATTTAATAGAGCAATTTCAATTGTATATCAAGTGTTGGTATAGGGTTGTATTAAAAATTGGGCCAAGTTTATCTTAAGGGTAAATATATTTACGTACTAGCAAACACTTTTCTGATGGTATAGGTAAATGCGTTATTCCGACAGTAAGAAAATATGTTGGTATTTGTCTATTATATCGATGCAATTATATTGATAGTAAAATTTCCTTCGGAATTGCATATATTTCTATTGGTATAGCTAATTGGTGTCCATTTCAACAGTTTTTATATCTATATCAACAATTTTGTTAGTGTTGGTATATGGCAGTTCGTTTGTCGTGCACATCAAATTCCTACAAAACAATAAAAGACTATATTGAGATTCATAGCTTTTAGGATGAAATCATGAGTCTTAACATGGTATCGGAGTTAGGTCCGGTTGTGGTTTGCATGCATGTTTAGCACTGATGATTAGTGATAACTTGTTAATGGTTTGTTTAGCCTATTTATACACCCGATGCTGTCCAGGCCGATTTAGACTAAGGGGTGTGTTGAAATATTTGTACCATGTTGGATTACTATTAAAAAAATAAAACACTATATAAGATTCGGGGCTAATCGTATCATGTTGATGTTTAGGATGTAATCCCGAGCCATAACATTATTATATTGCTAAACTATGCAGTGCACATTATTGTAGAGTCTAACATCTATATTTTTTAAATAAGTGTTTTGCTTTGTTGTAGAAAAGTGTCACAGTTTTACTATTCTATATGTAAGTGGCATAGGCATGGACCTGAACTCGACTGGCTCAGTACAAATTAAAGAAAATTTCTCGGAAAAAATTAACACAAAATATTCTACATTAATATTTAAAGCATTTTAAATCTGAGGCGAGCCGTGGCCTAGGATGGCACCCCTTGTTGTGCCCATGTATATGTATGTCGTGCACATCTACTTCATCTCTTTAATAAAATCAAATGCACTCTTAGCAGCACGAACCGCCTTTTCGAAGCTCTCCAGCCTCTCAATTACGCTGGCCCGTTTCTCCTTATCCATCTTTCGTTATATGAACAAGCAAATCCCGCTGCACACCAAACAGATGGCGGTAGCAGAGAATGCGGCAGTGATGACATCCGAGGGATGTGGTGGTTCATTCTCTTTCTCTTTGTCCTTGTCCTTTGAAGGAGAAACAATGGAAGTTCTACTACCTTCTCGCAACACTCGATTCATTTGGACACTGTTGCTTCTTATTTCTTCATAGGTAATAGTTATCCAGTCTCCTTCAATGGGTAGTGGCGTGCCTACTTCATGAACAGTTGTTATGATAATATCACCCTTTACATATTTGACGACATTGAATCTCGAGCACTGCAAATACACTAGCCTCATCTCTTGTGGAAGTTTCAATAAATTAAGATACTTTTTAGAATATATAACAATTAATGGAAACATGGTTCCAGATTTCTCTTACACTACTATTACTCAATTATTAAAGCTTATGGATAAAAATATGACTAAAATTATTTAGTGCATAACTTTATGTAAATGGTCACATTTACATAAAGTTATTTTTCATGGTCATTATACTTTAAAATTGAACATAATTATTATAAGACGCTAAAAATTACTCCCTCCATCCCATAAAACAGTTCTCACAAGGATTTGGATCGGAGTTTAAGAAAATGGGATTTGTTGGTATTATTCATGTACGTTCGCATGCAGAATTATTTATGTAAGTTGACTGCATCAAATGTCTCAATGGTGTTAATAGTTATGCATCTTATTTTATTGTTACTTTGGTTTATACCTTGTCACGGAGCATTATTATCCAATGACTCCTAGCTAACGTGTAGGAGAAAAACTCTCCAGCGAGTTAACCAACATAGAGATAATTCCAATTGTATATGTAGTATAAATGATTGTATTGTGATACGATGAATAACAACGAAAATTAATTTTGCTACTGATACATATCTCAATTTGGTATTAGAGCAGCGTACGATCCACGTCCATTTTTTCGATTAACTGCCCTGAGCGATGGCGAACAAAACTCACGACCAAAATTCCAACGGACCTTTGAGAAGGAAATAATGATCCTTCATTGTCGTACTACTTATCGAGTTAAGACTATCCTGAAATTAACATGTGTTGTTTCACTCTCAAAGGTGAAAGCAATTATAGGGAACGGGCGACAACAATGAAGAATGCGTTCCGAGAAAAACAGAAATTCAGTTTCTTGGACGGTCCTTGAAGATTGGTATGCAGTGAACTCCACGCTAGTGGGCTGGCTGATGACGATTATTGATCCTGGCTGATTTAAATACTATGTTCGAGCTTGGCGATCCGATGCGGATTTATGAACTGAAGAATCTATACGCTCATGCTGGCAAATAGGCAGACTATCACCATGTATTTTAGACGCCTCAAGGCATTATGGGATGACTATGAAGGTTACCGGAACATGTCAGGGTGCTCTAGTCATGGTTGCGAGTGTGACCTGAAAAAGAAACTCATGAAACAATCTGAGCAGGAGAAGACCTACGATTTTTTTATGGGTTTGGATCGTGAAACATATGGAGATTTGCGGTCCAACCTACTCAGTCGAGACGACTTGTCCTCACTCACGAAGATATATCAGATCGCGACTCAGGAAGAATGAAACCTGAATATGACACAAAACGACGACGAAAAGGTGGATGATGTTGCCTTTGCAGCCAGGACCGGAGTAATGCCAACTGCGCGAGAAAAAAAGATCATATGTATGTATTGGAAAAAACATGGGAATGCAGTGGACAACTGTTTCAAACGTACTGTTCAATACCCCGATTGGTGGTATGACAGTCCTGGTAGTGGACATGGGGATGGGGACGTGGTAGTCCTGGGAGAGGACGTGGCAGAGGCACTGCTCATGCCATGCAAATAAAATCAGAAGGAGACGTGAATCATGTTGCTGCACCAAACTCGGGAGACTCCATACGTGTGCCAAACTTCACCGATGAACAATGGAGGAACTTTCTCACGTTAATGGAGAAGTGTAAGGCTTCATCGCCTTATGATAAACTGTAACGCCCCTCTCAGGGTTAAAGGAATCGTTACACTAACTTACTACTCTTAAAAAAAATAGCTACAATTAACGGCCGTCTATTTAAGAAAATAACCCTGATAAAAACTCAAATATAACTAAAATATAACTCTTGATAAAAACTCAATAAAATATAGTTATCACCAGCAAATGTGATAACCACCTGGATCCAGGAATTTATTCAAACTTCAAATTCTTAAATAAAATAAAGTATAATAGTCTCTTTA